CCACCCTCCACCCCCCGCCCCATTCACTCAAGGCAGTGCTACTGACTGAAGTTGTCTTTAGGCCATTCCCAAAGGGGGGATATTAACTTGTTCTTGTGCACAGTAGAATTGTAAATGGGCTGATGTATCAATGTCATGCTCATACTGTGCCGGAGCAACATAGGGGGAACTGCTACTTTTTCTGTCCTTATCCTTACAATCGTCATTTTTCCTCTACTTCTTTTGTATGTTTCTCACTCTCTTGTGAACTGCTATTTCCGGGGTGCCATTATAGTCGAAGCAGACTTTGTGCTGTTGAGGCTAAAGAGGTGAGCAGAGTAAGACTGATTCCCCGTGTGGACTTCTGTTGACATCCACCCCTTGGCGCTCATATGACCTTAAGCAGTTGCGAGCGCCGTCAAACGTTACTAAAACTGAAAACTGAAAACTCTTCCTCTCCCACCCCTCCACCTTGTTCTCCGCCCCCTCACAACTTCTAAGAATGTATTATTTCCGCTTTCGTCAACTTTTACAGCTAGCGCTACATTTGATCTGGCAGCCAGTGCTGCAAGTGTTGAGAAGTGTCTGTTCAAGACAGTCAGTCACTGTATACAGTATTTCTTGAAGTCACTGCCCAAATCAAAGATAGCCTTGTCGCTACTGGTTGCCTACCATGAGAATGCTGAGCTGAAAGTTGATGATAATGTTGCTGAGTTGTTGGTTTTCTTCCTTTTGAAAGAACGGCGAAGTCGACTAAAAAAAGAGGTTTAAGAAAATGTTGTGGCATTGTTAATGTTTTATTTTTACTTTTCAAACCCTTTCCTCGCAGGTATATGGCACCCACAAGAAACTAAAAGGGGGTTCAGAAACAGAACTTTAAAGGAAATCCCGACGTAGAACTAAGAGGAGCAAACTAAGCAGGAAAAGGTAAGCTGACAACTTTGTTATTACGTCGGCCAAATTTTTACTCCTACTTCGCCCCTCCTTAAGAGATCATGACATGCCTTGATCCGTCTCGAATATTATATTGTTTTTGAATGGTTTCCTTCAATTTCTCAATAAATTCTGGATAAAACGATGTTATAAATGTAGATTTTATTTTTTGTTTTAAGTTGTACACACCAACACACACACACACGCACACACACACACACACACACACACACACACACACACACATGTTATGTATCGCTAATAAATCATAGTTCAGAGTAAAAAAATACTTATTCAGAGTTGGAGTGCTTGTACTGATACAGGATAATGTTGACCAAAACGCGTCCAAATTTTGAACCCACTGTGGAAGTCGGGAGTAAGGTTTAAGACAGAAGTCAACTCACGAAAAATGTTTCATCGGTTAGGTGACAGGTAAAAACCCGGTTGGAAAGGATCATCATTGAAAAGGTGATTGAATGAAGGGATAGAATGGATTACATATCTAAGACAGACACTGTGATAACTTCAACTGAAAAAGCAGGGAGAAAAAATGTAGATTCGTGCCCACTCCTAAGACTTATGTTTTTTATTCGCTGTATTCTGCTTCGTTTTTAACTTCTGTGTCTAAACTTGTAAAACCTTGAACCATCGTAAAGCTCAAAACTTACCATGCTCGTTTTACGTGTTCCATTAATATAATGGCTCCACAGTCGAAGACTCCATAAAAAGAACAAGTAAAATCATTACGAAATCTTCACTCAGAGTAATTTTAAAACTGTTTATACCAACGTGTTGCTCTCTTTGGGTAAATGAAATGGACAAGAGTAAGAACAGTCATCAAGTGCCAGACCTGACACGGACATCGGCAATCAGGGATCGTAACTCGTTTCTCTGTTCAAATAATCTCAAAGTAATGCATATATTTTCCTAGTCTTTTTCGGCCCCCCATCTGTTCAAGCTCTCTAAGTCAGTTTTTCTTGGTCAGCTTCGGCCGGCCCCGTTTGCCTTCTTTTTTTTCAAAGGGGTTGCACACATGGCGTTAAATAATTCACCAATTACGTCGATGCCATTTAACCCACGGCATCTCACCAACACAGACAATTCTACCGCTGGTGCTTACAACTGTGTCAAACAAAGTATTTGAGCGAGGGTCATCGAGTCTTGCACAAGGGCACACACACAACTAACCGTCCACGTTACAATAGTACTGCGGTTCATCTTTGTTAGTAAAGTCTGTTATCTCTTTTAGAAGCGTGTATGTGAGCAACGGAATCATACATCGACATGAAGGGGGATATTGACTGTTCGTGAGGAAGGAGGGTGGGAATGGCAGAGACTAAGTGGAGGATGTTCTAGGATGGAATTATCAGCAACGCTTTCGAACCTCAGTCCTATCGTCAGGAAAACAGAACCGGCCCGACGAGAAAAACATGCATGAAGAAAAAGTATCTTTACTTTTAGATCTTGATCGGTAATAACCAGAGAGATGTTATGCAACATTTAGAAAAAATCTCCAGAAACGGACCTAGAAATATGTTTTTTCAAAGACTGAAGCCTATCACCCTTGTATGGCGAGGAGACAATCATGTAAAGTATTCCTTGGCAGAACCATGCTACTCATACAGGGTGCCATAAACTAGTAATGAAGTTTCGACCGTCAGTGACGTCACAAACGTGACGTATTAGACAGAAATAGATTTTGAATTAGTCTCGATTCAACTTGTCAATTTGTTCACTTTTTCAATGTGGTTTCCTCTTGACTAGGAACGTGAAAAGTGAATGTGTGACTGTGTGTGTGTGTGTGCGGGAGGGGAGGGGGGGGGGGGTCTGAATAACAAAAAGACAGTGCTACGAATCTAGAGATTTTAAAACATATGACATGTTCTCACAAAAACGTTGCGCTCAAAAATACACCGTCGGCAGTCAGGCGCCAAACCTTGAAACACAACACAGTTGTTGTACACCACGACAGCTCCATTAATATCCCGTCGTTCAACTAGTGACCTCACAATAGCGATCAACCGCCCCCTCTGTCACTGCGCTCATCAGCAGACCTAAAAGTGTTACGTCACATGGTGACATTGGCGCCCGGACTACAAGGTACCGTGGTCACAACTCAAGCTTCAAGTGACTCTCCAGATCTCTGGGTTGTGTCGTTGGTCATGCGAGAAACACACCACAGTTGTTGTTTTTTAAACAAAACACGAGAAGTTGCCCCCACAAAGTAACAGAGTAGAGCGTGTTTCGTGACTCATGACAAGAATGATAAATCAAGCATAGATGTCTCCTAGCAAGAAGATGTAATATCAAAGTCATACGTTTAAAGAACATAATCTAGGCTCGAGAAAGAGAGACTTTAGTAGGAGGGGGAGAGGAGGAGAGAACAAATAAGGCAGAGGAGGGGGGGGGAGAAAGAGGACGAGAGGAACAGAAGTGGGAGGGGAGGATGAGTAGGAGGAGTGAGAAGGAAGAGTAGCAAGGAGAAGCAGAGGTTAGGGTTATGGTTGTGGTGCAGAAGGAGGAGGAGGAGGAGGAGGGGGATGAGGGGGATGAGGGGGAAGAGGAGGAGGAGGACCACGATAACCCCGATGATAACAATGACTAGGACGAGAAGGAGGAAGAAAATACATCGAATCGTATTAATACATTCTGTGTAATCATAAACACATCAAATTGTTATAGTATCTATTATGCCAGTTTGGCCATCAATTTTACTACCACCTTAATCCTCAATCCCTTGCTTTGCTAGCATGTTTATCATTGGCCCTACTCTTAAGACAAAACTGTTGAAAGGGTGAAATCATGGTTGAGGTGGTGTGAGGCTGGGGGGATGACGGGGCCTATGGGAAGTGATGGATACAACAAAGACAGAGCTGTGAATTAAGAAGGCTTTTTTACTTCAAAATATACATACTCCAACCCCCCCCCTAAGAAAATTGTTTTTAAATTTGCGAAATACAAGCGCGTAATCCTAGCATTACACCGGTATTTGCTCTCTATTGAATAATGAGTGAAAAGTTTCAGAATTTTTAGCAGTAGAGTGAAGAGCACTAAGAGCTCCACCAAAATGAAGCCATGTCAAAACCAGCCCAGAGTTAAGATCAACGCTTCACGTCAATGTACCTGTAGACAAAAATGTTGTCTGAATTCAAAAACACCATACCACTGTTTTGAGGTAAAACCCTAACAGTTGCCAGTACTGCAATGTACATTATATTATGAGTTGTAATACTTGAAATGATATGCCTGCTTCTTTGACTACTTCTTTGGTGTTCCTGTCAAGTGTTGTTGGTTGTCTTCCTTTTTGTCCCAGACGCTAGTACCCTTATTGTGATCATTCATGATAACGTTCGTTTCCATGGTGCTTCTTTTTCAGGTGCGTGTTGAACCTTTTGTCTTTGCTATTGTTGACATTGCTGCAGTTTAGGTTGTTGATCATTCATGATAATGTTCTATCCATGTTGTTGTGATTTAAGATGCCTGTTCTCTTCTTCTTCTTTCCTCCTCCTCCTCCTCCTCCTCCTCCTCCTCCT